CGTGTGTGTGTGTGTGTGTGTGTGTGTGTGTGTGTGTGTGCAAATGAGTGTATCTATTTCCTAATTACTTAATTATCATCTTCCAATAATGCTTGATCATGCGTGAAAAACCTGCATTAGAGTATGAGTAATTTAAAGCCACTTAGTTCCAGCTACGAGTTTCTCGACGAGAATTAGTACCATTATCTATTTATCTATTATTTCTTCATCGATTGCTCTTCTTCAAGTTCAAGTCACCGTAATCGACTTACACCTGATTACACCATAGAGTTACCCCAGAGACTCTCTGCCTACGCTCTGTCAGTGGGGCTCTCGTGGCCTAGAGGTTAATTAAGGTGTTCGCCTCTCATTCAAAAGGTCTCGGATTCTTCTCTAAAATTGTCTCCTTCCACATCCTTTCCAGCTCTCTAACAATATGTTCTGTTGTCTGCTTTCATCTCCATTTTCTGCCCCCACCCCACCCCCTCACCTTCTTTGTCCCCTCCTCTGGGCTCCTGACTCTTTCTGCAGCATTTCTACTGCTTTTCCTTGGCTCCTTCTTACTGCTGTCTTTCAGCCACGCCCCTGAATATATGGTAGGTAAGATCAGACTCTTAAATATAAGCCTTCTCGGAAAAGGGCGAAAAATCTGGGAGATCCCGTATGCAAGTTACGCACGTTGAAGATCCTTTGGTGGTCCAAAATCGAAAAGTAGTAGGCTTCGGCCACCACAAGGGCAAAATTCAAAATTTCCTCCAACGGAAAAGTTTGGAGTGTCCCGCGCACTCATATGACCTTAATGCAGTTGCAAGCGCCGTAATACGCTTAGCAAAATTTAAGACAACAACAAACAACAACACTCCGCCTGTCAATGATACAGATGGTGGCACCACTGTATAATTATCCATAACACCGAGTTATGAAAAAAATGGAATTCAGACCGCATTAAAAAGTTCGCGTTTCTTTGTCCCCTTGGCTCCCCCCACCCCATAAATGAGCTTAACGCATTCCTTGAATTATCTCGATGAGCTTAAATATGGTGAAATTTAGCTTCGAAAAAGTCGGCACTTAAACTTTTTAAATACCCTCTCACATCAACGTGAGAGACTGTTAACTGATTAATAACAATTTAAGCACGAGACCTTCATTAGATTAAAACCCCATTATATCGACATATTATATATAGACACCTGTTCTACATCTCTCTCAAAGCTTTCTGGCAAATGGTTTTTAATTGTCTTTGTAAGGTTTTTAATTGTCCCTATCAAGTTCAAACATGGGTCAGCGACACCAGAATAGTTTCATTATTGATATTCTTCACGCCCTGGTCAATTACCGTTCAGATGTAGGCCGACGTGTAGGCCTGATGAGAATCAGATATAATACTTCTTGGAACATGATATATTACAGTCGCCTATGCTAACTATTACGGTATATATACGTGTAGCTGTCATAACTGCAATAGCACCAGTCGCTAAGTTGAATAAATAAACACATGTCAATCATTGTCATTCGATTATTTGCCACAAGCTGAAGAGACAGACAAACAAAACTAAATGATCTATCTCGACTGTACTTTTACCCCCTTTTTATCTGACAAGCATCGTTGATGTTGCTACACGTGCTTTAATCTTTAATTCTGGCTGGTCGACATTAAGGTACTTGCGATAATTTAGCTACGAATGAAAGACGTGCTTGTGTTGTTTGAAAAGTCCATGCGGGCGCTGTTTGTTTGTTATAAAATACTAATTTGATTTGTGAAAAAGTTTGTTTAAATAGGGCATATAGGTGCGCTGGAAACAAAGATTCAATCTACCAGTTGAGCATCTTTTTGCTGGAACTGAAATTCCTCCACCAAAGATTATCCACTAGTGGAGAATCTTTTCCTCGACTGCCCAAAGGAGAGCTTAACTATTTTAATTAGGCTTGGTCAATAATATCCAAGACGGAATAAGTTGGATAATATTCGTCATTTTGTTGGGGTCAGACGTATATATTCAAAGCCAAGGTTGCGAGAGGTCCTGATCATCCGAGCCACAAGACCCTTGGATCCGAACACAGCAGGGATGTTATAAATAGATAATGTCATAAGGTCGTTAGCATCGGTCTCTGCAGTTAACACAGCAGGTGCGACGACCTATACCCAAATTAAATCCCAATAAAAATTGATGTCGCCAGACCCGAAATCAAGCATAAAAATGACATCCCGCCAGAATAAAACCTGGCAACCAAGCTCATTATTATTTCTTAGAAGTAGATGGTATGGTCTGGTATTTAGTAACTTTGTTATGTTTTGATCGCTTCGCTGCTACTGCTCTGCCTGCTGGCTGTAGGCTATAATAGATCTTGTGTCTTGTTGTGTGCCCCGTGGCCCGTGGATGCCCATAATTTCGATGTTATTTCTGTAACCTGAACAAACTGGAGTGAAAATAGACCTGCGTTTGACAGGTTGCAAAAGTTTTGCTCAAGTGGTATTTGTATTCTCTCCACACCAGTTGATCAGCATGTCTACGTCTACGTTAGAGTCAGATCTTCGACAGCGGAGCTCGGGCCAAACTCAAACGACGAAAGATCAGGATGCTGAGGAAGAAAAGGTAACTGACCTAGAATGGCTTTATGGCCCAGAAAATAGAACTTCGAAAATAGAAATAGATCTAAATTCTAGATCTTTCAATAGTAGCCTGCCCAGCGCCCATGTTAAATTATAGTGGAACAGAATCCACTCTGACTGAAGACTGAAGAGTAAGTTGTAATTTTGCAGTCTCGACCAAGCCCAAGCCCAATTTAGCCAAGTAGCCCCCTTGTATTATACAGTACAGTCAGTAATAATAGACGGACATTATAATGTACAAACTGTCCGGTAAGCCTGTAGATCTAGTTTACATAGACCTAGTGCAGCTAGTACAGGGTTTATTATTTGAAAGTGGCTATTCTCACCCGCCCGGAAGTTCTCGCAAGATCTACTCCTCCCCTCTTCTCTCTGTCTCTTTCTGAATACTGTCTATCGGTGTGGACGATCAAATTGACCAAAACAAAGTTAAAAAATGATGTTAAAACACAAAAGTAAATTAATTTGGTTGTCTACAAAGATGCTACGGCTATTTAACTTTTCGAATCGAGCCGAACTACCCGGGTCGCCATTTTGTTTTGTTCTCTCTCTTTCTCTCTCTCACTCTCTCTCTCCACTGCCCACAGACAAAATTGTACGCTTTTAGTAGGCTACAAGTACAGTTGTAATGGAACGTTTGTTCACAGCACAGAATTCTACAATTTTTCTGTATCGCAGTGTAGAATTCTGTGATTTAGGGTGAACGCAAAATTTGTTGGCCTAGATCTAGGCTATAACGGTGAACGCGCACCGGATGAGAATAGCCAAAAGACTCGCCTGCACTATTCTCACCCCGGGTGAGAATAGAGGTGGCCTTATTATTTCTGTGCATTATAAATGCACTGAATTGGGGCCTAAAAATTACCTTCTCTCAGCAACCCCATTTCTATACTTTTTGTAATCTTTTCCTTATATATATATATATATAGTATAGATCTATGCCTTATAATTTAAGTAAGTTGGTGAAATCAAAATGTGTTTGTTCGATACCATATCATGTTCATTATAATGCTGTTTTTTTCGAAGTGACTAGATCTCTATCTCCGATCGCTTGTGAAAATAAACTTTTTGAGCTCTATTTCTCCGAACGGTTTCCGTTCTCAAGATTTTTTTTTGATTTCCGAAAGTTCTGCGTCATTTTTCGTTGCACTATTCTGTGAGGACTGGGAAGAAGCATTTTTTGCATCGAATTCAATTTCTAGAGCTAGAAATTTTTAGATGTCTGAATATTCAGACTTCTACTGTGGTTTGGGGAACGTTCCCGGACTACTTCATTTGAAAATGTCTTCAAAAGACTGCGAGAAAACAAGACTGCTCGACTTTGGCAGTTTAACCTATTATGCATTTAGTCACCCCTAAAGCAAAAACTAAATAAAAAAAAAAAATCCGTTAAACCCCCCCAACCCACCCACACACACACACACACGCAAGCCACGCCATTCACAAATAATAAAAAAATCTCAAGAACGGAAACCGTTCGGAGAAATAGAGTTCAAGTTTATTTTCCCGAGCGTACAGAGAAGTAGAGCCGGCCTTTTTTTTTATCATGCATGTCAAATTTGTGAGTGAATAGATTTTTTGTTTTTTCTAATTTAGTTCCGAGCAAGAAATGCAAATTATTAAAGTACTAGAAGATGGAGTAGTTGCTGTAGTTCTACTAATATTTTATATAAGACAATAATGCTACTTAAAAATACTAGTACTGGAAGTGTTGCCTACACTACTCTATGGACCACTTCTATGGCTACCATGGTTACCGTTTATATCATGAATGGTGAACATTGAATGGTTGAAGATGGATTCATAATTTGAAGATGATCTGATGAAGAGGGAGGTGAAAAAAAGAAATTTATAATGCATTCTTGCACTGTCATTTTTATGAGGTGTATTATTGCTCCTCAAAGAAAGCTTAGAAAGTAAACTTTACAGAGTAAAGCCTCCATATATGTTTAGTAAGTGTTGCGCTGTTTTGTAATGAAATTGTTTTGTCACATCGTAAATGATTGTGCCCGTTGTTTTCACTCTTTAAGTTACTATGCCAGTCAGAAAAGTAAGAGTCCCACTACTGCTTCTGTTTTCAAGCCATCAAGACCTGTTCATCACTGTCATATCGTGTGATGTGGAGGACAGAACTTGCTTTTGCCATACAGTTTGAAATTTAAAAGGGAAAAAATCAGTTTCATGTTGAAAAGTGTAGACTTAGGTCCCACCATAGTAAATTTAAAAAATCCAACTTTTAATAGTTTGTCTCCTCTCCGGAATGTTTTTCTTCATTGCTTTGCTGGATTTTAATTTTGGACAGTCAAAATGGAGCAGGGGGGTGACTTAACTACACCTATTATGTTTTATTTACACGTACACTGTCCTTTAATTTTTAAAATGTATATGTCTTTGTGAATATAATGCGTATTGAGCATTTTTTAGTTCATGGAAATGTGCAGTGCTTTTTATTATTAGTATTATAATAATTATTAAATAATTATAATGATTATTATTAATTATCATTGTTATTATTAAATAATAATAATAATGATAATTAATAATAATAATAATTATTATTATCATTTATTATTATTATAAAAAATTCTTATTAAAAATTATCATTTATTAAGTAATATCATTATCATTACTACTATTATTCATGATATATTATTATTATTAGCCCATCGTAATTTAATATAGTTTCTCGCCAAGTAAAGCGACAGCAGTCTCTTTCTAATACCTTAATAGAAAGGGAAATTTAATGAATGTAAAATTATACACAATATCTTGTTAAGCGCTGGGCTAAAATGTCGGTCAAATTGGGTAATTTAAGGCAGATAATAAACCATACTGGAAACAAAAAACACAAAAAATGTCAAATTGTTTTTGTGCAATAAGCCGAGCTTGGAAATTTTTAACAAACAGGGACAAACAGCCACAAACTGAAACAGTGCGAGATGGGATGTAAAATACTGCTATTGTAAGTCAAACCACCATCAAACGAATTAAACAGACTACAGACACACCCCCCCCCCCTCCTTTGGAGAAACTGAATGTGATGTGTTTATAGAATAATAGTCATGATACCTCGGACGTATTTAAGTTTTCGGTTTTATTTTGAAGTAAACTATCGTTGTCTGATCGGTCCACGTCGCTGGCCACTTGATGGAGACTGCAGGTTAATATGGTGACCAGTCATGAAAAAGATCACCTTGCCCTTTTTTTGTTTGAAACCAGTTTTGTTTTGTAACCTCTAATTTTAAAAAAATTAATGGAAATGTGATAGAAAATTTTTATTCCTCTAATACTAAAAAGCGATTTCCCAAGTATTTTACTGGACTTGTAAAACTGGTTTGGATCATTGTATCTCATAGTGTTCCCTTATATTAAATATCCATTTTGAGAATTTCTGCCACAAGTAATCCTACCTTAAATCTGCAGAAGGCCAAACATCAGTCGGGGATGGGTTCGTAACTACTTGTCTTCTCGTGTCAACACCTGTTACTTTTTTTTCGCTATTTGTGCAGATATGTAACCCAGGTTGACGTCAGCACAAAAAAAATGGTGTCCACGAGCTATATATAAGTGAAGTCAGTAGTATCTGGAAGCCTCTCAACTCAGGAAAATAAAATGTCTGCCCGTGACATACGGAATTGCCCATAAATATTAGTGGGTGAAGGGGGAGTAGAAGAGCTTCCGTGGCTTTGTGTGTGTGGTGTGTGTGGGTGAGAGATGTACATAAACGGCCAGTGCACATAAATAAAGTTGGAGAGATATTAAGTTTAATGGCGTAAATCTTGAACAGGTTTGTGTCTGATGCGTACAAATTTAAGCCTTGTTGTGTGTCTACTTTGCCTTTTCGCACGTACGGCCTGTAGCTTGCGTGTTGTGCTGGCGTTTGGCGGGATGCGAGTGCACAGAAGAAATGAACATTTGAAATTTATCTCCGTAAAAGTAAAATGAATATTGATCTGATGTCATCAGCATTGTGACTCGTGCTGCTGACTGTGTTTTGTAATGTTGCGACGTGCAAGTTGTTTCTGACATTTTTTCTACGATATAGACAACAGACTTTTAAAAAACAAATAGTAGTCTTACTTGATATGTGCTAGATATTATTAGATCTTGTTGATCTTTGTTGAAGGTACACCTTAGCTCCCCCCCCCCCCAAAAAAAAAAAAAAAATAGTATTTACAATGACCATAAAATGTCCTACATGCTTATGCAAAAAGTTAAGTTCGGTAATTCTAAAAACCGTTATATCATCTAGCCTACTGGCTGCTTTGAGTAATGGCAGGCAGGGAGAAATAAAGGGGGCATCATGTGTTCTTGAGTTTGGATGAGGATCGGGAAACTGAACATGGAAAGTTGCGCAAAAGGTCATGACATTTTGTTCTATATGCCTTATTTTTATACTCTATTCTTGATCAAACAGCTGTTTTTCAGGCCTGAAAATTAAGTTTTTTTTTTTTTTTCAGGATTGTTTTTTTTGGCTGCATTTTAAAAGTTAATTTATTATTTTTTTTCTGATTTTTTTTCCCCAGAGGCAGGCAGCGGCAGCGTCTGCCTCAGACAGCGACGACGATGATTTGCCAGTCAAGCCTTCAGTACCTACGACCCAAGGCTCGGACAAGACCACTGATGCCTTGGATAGTGCATTGAAAGACTTGACACCAAGGTTAGTGAGTGCACGTTGTCACGGTCGTGTTTGTGTGGGAAATTGTGGAAGTGTAACGCCCCTTGCAATGCTCTCAGGTTATTTATTTATTTATTTTGTTTTTGTAAGTGTGTTAAAGGGCTTGCAACTGCACAAGGGCATATGAGCACGAGGGGCACATTCATATTAAACATTTTCAGTTGGTAGGAAATTTTGAATTTTGCCTGGGTGGTTGCCGAAGCCTACTCTTTTCAATTTTAGACCACCAAGGGATCTTTAACATGCGCAACTTGCATACAGGACCTCCAAGAATTTTCATCCTTGTCTGAGAAGTTAGATGTAGATCTTTCCTACCATAAGATCAGGGATGTGGCTGAAAGACAGCAGTAAGAAGGAGCCAAGGAGTAGCAGTAGAATGGCTGAAGAAAGAGTCAGGAGCCCAGAGAAGAGGGCAAAGGAGGTGAGGGGGTGGGGGCAGAAAATGGAGACGAAAGCAGACAACAGAACATTGCTAGAGAGTAGGAAAGGCGGTGAAATGAGAACATTTTAGAGAAGAAAAATTTCCGTGGCTTTCCGGATTCGAACCCGGGACCTAT